TGGGCGCTTGGGTCGCCGGGGGCGTGGCCAGCCTGAAAACAGCCATCAGCCCTTCACCCAGGCTGGCCAGGCACCCCAGTGGGACCCCCACCGTGATCTGGGACAACCAGCCGGCCCCCACTCGTGCACCAGGCCTCTATCCTATATACTAAAAGGGTAATATGCAAATTGACCCTAACAGCAGAACGACTGGGAATGACTGGTCACTATGACACACACTGACCACCAGGGGGCAGACGCTCAATGCAGGAGCTGCCCCCTGGTGGTCAGTGCACTCCCACAGGGCGAGCTCTGCTCAGCCAAAAGCCAGGCTGACGGCTGCCAGCACAGCGGTGGTGGCGGGAGCAACTGCAGCTTAAGCCTGCTCCCCGCTGGCAAGTGGACATCCCCCGAGGGCTCCCGGTCTGCCAGAGTGATGTCTGACTGCCAGCTTGGATAGGGCCTAAGCCAGCAGGTGGACATCCCCGGAAGGGTCCCAGACTGCGAGAGGGCACAGGCCGGGCTGAGAGACCCTCCCGAGTGCACAAATTTTTGTGCACCGGGCCTCTACTTATTAATATAATCTGGATGAGGTGGATTGGGTAGGTAGAAAGCCTTCCCTGGGGAAATAAAGCCTGAATTGCCCTCCAGTAGAGAGTAGGAGAGCCAGCCAGGCTACAAGTGGGTGAAAGAGGAGAGTTCATTCTAGGCAGAGGGAACACTTTATATTGAACCTGGTAAAGACTGAAGAAAACTTGGTACAGGAAATTCTAGAACTTCAGTAGGGCTGGGTGTGAGTTAGGAGGGATCAGAAAATGTATTTGTTCTAAGTAGGGCTTTATTTTGATGGTGTTGTTAAAGAATGAGAGATAGTTTCAGAAGATTCTTGCCTTCCTCTGCCATAAGCACTTGTTTTTGGGTCTAACAAGCTTCCCCCCTAAACTCTTCCAGTGACTTCCCATCACTTATAAGATACAGTTTTAAAACTTTATCATATTATATTTCACCCATATAATTGTCTCTCACAAGTCACAATGGACTACTTTTAATTCCCAAAATGCACTGTCCTTCGTAACCTCGTGCCTGGACATGTGCCGCTGCCTTCACACTATAATTTCCTTTCTCACTGTGTCCTATGGCGAATTCCTCCTCATCCTTCAAGATAGTGGATGATATACAAAAATCGGTTGTGTTCCTAAGCTAACAGTCCTTTTATACAATAAGGCTAAAAGGAACTGTGCAAGATTAATAATCTTTACTAAGGGATCTGAAAGAAAGGTGAATAAATACTGTGGTTAGGTTTGGAAGTACTGAATACAATAAAGGTGTTAATTCTCCCAAATTTAGTGTATTTAATATAATTCTAATCAAAGTTACTATCTATACAAATATTTTATAATTATTTTAAACTGACTACCTGATTCTAAAGTTCATCTGAAAGAATAAACATAAAGTAGATTTGGAAGGAGAAACCAAGATGGCGGCATAGGTAAACACCGGAGATTGCTGCCTCGCACAACCACTTCAAAAATACAACTAAAAGGCGGAACGGACATCACCCAGAACCACAGGAAGGCTGGCTGAGTGGAAATTCTACAACTAGAAGGAAAGAGAAAAGCATACCGAGACTCAGAGGAGCTGCGGTGCGGAAGTAAAATACTAAGGTACAGAGGCGCAGGCGGAGCAGGCTGGTGGCTGAGGACACGGTTGTCTTTTTCAATCGGGAGGGAGTCTCAGGCTCTGAGCTCCAGTTCTGGGCGAGTCTCTGGGAACCTAGATTCATACGGGAGAAGCGGGACTGTCTGGCATCGGTCGGAACTTGAGGGCAGCTTTCTCTCGGAGGTACTTGCAGCGATTGCCGGGACACAGAATCGGGGCCTCTGAAGGCAGGACTGAGAGCAGCCATAACTGCTCGCTCCGCCCGCCCTGTTGATCCCCTGGGACCCGCCCCGCCCAAGCCTTGCAGGGAGGCATTTGCTGGATAGCCTCAAGCAGAGGCTAGATTAGCACCTCCCTAGAGCTCCAGGACAGAAGTTCTCCCACTGCAGACACAGCTGATTCTCACAGCCAATTGGCCTGGAGGTCAACCCCTCCCAGTGTTACAACAATCAAGGCTTAACTACAATAAGACCACAAAGACCACAAGGGGGAGCACCAAGAGTGTCCTCCTCAGGTAATTGGGGAGGCTGAACCACTGGGCCCTAGAGGATACTTAGCACAGAAAACCACTTTATCAACACAAGGAAGCATAAAAAATGCGGAGACAAAGAAACAGGACACAAATGACAGAAATGGAGGAAAGCACACTGCTGGATATAGAGTTCAAAACCATACTTTTAAGGTGTTTCAAGAACTGTCTAGAAGCCGCCGATAAATTTAGTAAGACCCTCGAAAAGACTGGTGAGACCGCCGATAAATGTAGTGAGATGGGGCAAGAAATCTAGTGAGACCCTCGATGTTGTGATAAAGGACCAACTAGAAATTAAGCATACACTGACTGAAATAAAGAATATTATACAGACTCCTAACAGCAGACCAGAGGATCGCAAGAATCAAGTTAAAGATTTGAAATACGAAGAAGCAAAAAACACCCAACCGGAAAAGCAAAATGAAAAAAGAATCCAAAAATACGAAGATAGTGTAAGGAGCCTCTGGGACAGCTTCAAGCGTACCAACATCCGAATTATAGGGGTGCCAGAAGAAGAGAGAGAGCAAGATATTGAAAACCTATTTGAAGAAATAATGACAGAAAACTTCCCCTACCTGGTGAAAGAAATAGACTTCCAAGTCCAGGAAGTGCAGAGAACCCCAAACAAAAGAAATCCAAAGAGGACCACACCAAGACACATCATAATTAAAATGCCAAGAGCAAAAGACAAAGACTCTTAAAAGCAGCAAGAGAAAGACAGTCAGTTACCTACAAGGGAGTACCCATACAACTGTCAGCTGATTTCTCAACAGAAACTTTGCAGGCCAGAAGGGAGTGGCAAGAAATATTCAAAGTGATGAATGCCAAGAACCTACAACCAAGATTACTTTATCCAGCAAAGCTATCATTCAGATTTGAAGGTCAGATAAAGAGCTTCACAGATAAGGAAAAGCTAAAGGAGTTCATCACCACCAAACCAGTATTATATGAAATGCTGAAAGGTATCCTTTAAGAAGAGGAAGAAGAAAAAGGTAAAGATACAAATTATGAATAACAAATACACATCTATCAACAAGTGAATCTAAAAATCAAGTGAATAAATAATCTGATGAACAGAATGAACTGGAGATTATAATAGAATCAGGGGCATAGAAAGGGAATGGACTGACTGTTCTTGGGGGGGAAAGGGGTGTGGCGGATGCGGGAAGAGACTGGACAAAAATCGCGCACCTATGAATGAGGACAGTGGGTGGGGGGTGAGGGCGGAGGGTGGGGTGGGAACTGGGTGGAGGGAAGTTATGGGGGGGAAAAAAGAACAAATGTAATCTGAACAATAAAGATTTAATAATAAAAAAAAAGTAGATTTGGAAATTATGAAGAAAAAAAAAAAAAGAATGGAGATTTGCCCTGTCAGAAATTAACCAATTGGAAGTTTTCTACCCTTGTCAGTTAAGGGGTGCACATGATGTAAGCCAAGCCACTCCAGTCTGTATTAATTATGTTTCTAATCATTTCCCTGTTACTACATGACTCAGAACCTTGGGTAGATTTTTACCCTGTTTGCAGAGTTAAGATTAGGATGGACTGACATAAAATTTACATTAGTGGCATTAATGGATTTCCCTTTGAGGTTCATTTTAATGCAGTGGTCCCCAAAGTGGTCTTGGGATTGCAGTATCAGTATCATATGAGACCTAACTAGAAATACAAATTCTCAGGTCCCACCTACGACCTACTGAATCAGAAACTCTGGCATTAGCGCCCAGTAGTCTTTTACAGACACTTGATGCATGCTAAAGTTTGTGAAGCACATTATTAAAGAAAGGGTTTGTCATCCTCTAGAATACTGAAACAGATGCACGGGGCTCATATGATGCACCATCATAATAAAAAGGAGAAAGCAGACTTACAAATAAGCTCCTGATGGAAATTCACGTGGCACACTTCAAGTCACAGGTGTTACATTTCAATTCAGCCATTCCTCACATGGACACCTCCAGGGTGAGCAGCAGCTGGAATTTATTTAATTGACTATGGTTAATGAGGCTGCCAAATAATTCAGCTAGAAAGGTCAGCTCATAGATCAATTAAATATTTCCTGCTGTATCATCTGCCAGTTGATGTGAACCTGTGATTGTCAAGAGACCTAACTGTTGGACTAAATAAAACATTAGGAAGGTAAATTTGCTGCGGGAAGGGGTGAGAGCCTGCACTATCCGTAAGAGATTTTTAAGCCATCCACTGATCACTTCATTAACTCTGTTACTGTACAGTTCACTGTAGTTAGCTTTCCATACTCTTATCTTCATAAGGAAAATTTTAACACATAATTTAAACACCCTTTAATGATAGTAATTTTCCTTCTGATATTAATAGTCTCAGGTTTTAAATTTTGTCTCTAAGAAAAACACTTCCTTGTGCAAAGAATGATTGACTAGAATCTATTTTGATGGATTTAGAGGTATGTAAAGGCAGGCCAGGTTTTGTGTTTTTTGGGGTTTTTTTTGGCAAGATATTCTGTAGGGACGGACTAAGCTGAGGCAAGCGAGGCATTCCTCAATGTTGCAGAATTTTAAGGGCACCTAACATTTATTTATCTATACTCAACATAAATAATATTTTAATGGCCACAATTGATATAAAAGGAAAAACCAAAAGATAAACAAAATGTCAAAGATTTAAATAAAGACAGGATTATAAATGCTGGGTTGAGTCATATCGGAGCCTGAGGCAAAAGGAAAGTTAGTAATACTGATCTTGGCTCTGAAAATCTCAGGTAAGTAAAATGTAAAACTAGGACCACAGTTCCTACATTAGTAATATAAAATTGTATTAGCGTTATAATAACATTCTTTTGTTTTTGTATTTCTAGGGATATCTTAATATCTCCATCATGCTGGCAACATGCTGTTCTTCTTAACCGATTCAATTACCCTTTTGAACTGGAAAAGGATTTACATTTCAAGGGCTATCACACACTCTTTCAAGGATCTTTACCCTATTATCCTAAATCAATGAAGTGTTATCTTAGCAGAATTCCCCACCGGATACCTTCAGAAAGACACCAAATTGGAAACCTAAAAAAATACTATCTCCTGAATGCTGCCTCTCTTCTCCCAGTACTGGCTCTTGAATTAAGGGACGGAGAGAAGGTTCTGGATCTGTGTGCTGCTCCTGGAGGCAAATCAATCGCTCTGCTGCAGTGTGCTTGTCCAGGTAGTGTGCTTTGCTATCAGTTATCAACCACTTTTCAATGTCCATCTGTATAAAGTGCTTTTAACATATCTGGGGGAAAAACGTGAGATTGAGTTTGCAGACTTTGAAAGCATGAAACCAGGACAATATGGAGAGAATGGAAATTTTAGCTGAGGAATTCAGTGTAAATAATATTTTTCCCCAGTTACTTAATCCTAGCAGGTAATTGGGAACAAAATTACATGTTGGGAATGAAAATCTATCAGATAATATGAATTCTGATAAACCAATAACAAAGATTTAAAAAATTTTATTACATTTATACTTAAGAGTCATATTGACTTCCTTGTAATAGTACTATGAAGCAGAAACATATACACTTAAAATCATTTTTTTGTATCATTGGACCATAAGGTTCTATGGCAATTCTGTTCAATCCTATATAATAAAAGCCCAGCGACCAAATGGCAGAACGATCAGAACGACCAGTCGACCAGTCACTATGATGCACACTGACCACCAGGGGGCAGACACTCAACGTAGGAGCTGCCCCCTAGTGGTCAGTGCGCTACCACAGTGGGAGTGCCACTCAGCTGACCGGGATGAGCAGCTGCTCCCACTGCGAACCCCAGGCCAACAGACAGGACCCGGGGCTGTGATCATCGTCTCCTTGCCCCAGGCTCCTCCTCCTCACTCCCTGATGCCTCCTCCAGACACCCACAGGCTGTACAGTGCTGCCGCGAGGCTCACAGAGTTGACCCTGGAAGTTGGGAGGCGGGTTTGTGGCCACCACGGGACTGAGACCTACTCTGCTGCCTCTCAGTGCTATTGTCCCGGGGCCCAGCCTCGATCGGGTCCCCTGGAGAGGCGAGTGCTCTGGCTCCACGGAAGATGCCGGACCAGGGAGCAGCCACTCAGATGGCAGGTCCACAGCCACTCGGCTGACCAGGATGAGCAGCGCTCCCACAGTGGGCCAATCCCTGCAGGCCACGTCCCCCACCAGTGCACGAATCCCGTACTCCGGGCCTCTAGTAGAAATATAATGTGACATCTATATATATATACAAAACCCTAATATGCAAATAGACCAAACAGCGGAACAACCGAACAACCGGTTGCTATGACGTGCGCTGACCACCATGGGGCACGTGTGGAACATGGCAGACATCGGCAGCAGGTGGCAGTGTGTGAAACATGGCAGGCATCGGCCACAGTGGAATGGTGGAGCAGGTGAGCGGAGGCGCCAGACCACGGCGGGGCGAGCCTCTGGTGGTTACTGAAAATTCTTTGCTCCTGCGTGCCATGGTCCTGCTCAGCGCTCGCACCTGCTGCCAGCACTGGCCCCGCTCGCACCATTGCTCCATGCCATCAGCGGGTGCGAGCGGCGGCTCCTGGCCCCAATTGCTTCTGAGGGCTTCTCCACCTCCCTCTGCTCCTGAGGGGCGATTTGGGCAGCAGCCGCTGCTCGCACCTGCTGATGTCACTGGCCTCGCTTGCACCTGCTGCTGGTGCCAGCCCCAGTCGCTCTGTGCTGTCAGCGGGTGCAAGCGGGGCCAGCGCTGTCAGTGTGTGGGAGCGGCAGTAGCAGCAGCGGGAGAGGGGCTGCTGGCAGACAGGGGACCAAGGGCCGTGGCGGGAGGGGCTGGGTGGGGGCGTGGAGGATGGGCCGAGACCCGCCTCTGTGCCCACCTTATCCTCAAGGCCCATAGTTCCTTTAAAGGTGCATGAATTCATGCACTGGGCCCCAAGTTTACATATAATTTAAAACTTTTGAGTAGTCTTTTGAGGGCTAAACAAATAGTTTTATGTTTTTTCCCAGTTAATAATTGTAAGAAACGTTCACTTGTACAAATTCAAATAATGGACTCGGAGACAGGAATGGCAAAAACAAGACTTTTAATGCGGTCTTGCAAGATCAGTTGTCTGGTTGAACAGGCACACACTTGAAGCGGTGATCACAGGCTATTTATTCCTAGTGTCTGAGAGTCCCTCCCCCAGTTCCTCATTGGTTGAGTACTATAGGGTTAACAGTTTTCCCCATACGTAGCCTAGGTCTATTGTCTCCCATTGGGTTATTTAAAAATAAATGAGTTGAGGCCTTTCTAGTTGTCTCCACCTCCCTTTGTTTAGCTGTGGTGGATCTTCCTGGAAAATGTGCTACTGGCCACATATACAGTTCTTTGTTCTTATACCCTCTCCCCTCCTCCCTACATTCTTTTTGTCCTGGGAAACTTCAGTAACCAACTGGCCACATGCTTTTAGTTTTCTCTAAAAGTGGTCTATGCTGAAGATGGATCACAGAGGCCTATTTCCTACAATAATCAAATTAACAAAGACAGATTAACAGGAGAAAACGTCCAAAGTTTATTACATGCCAGGGGTTGTCATGAAATATGAGACCCCAAAATGCATTGGGCTGTTGAAGTTTATATGTCTTTGTGGACAAAGGAGAAAGGAGGCAGGAGTCTGAGATTTCACAGCTAGTTGAGGAAGAGCAGAACAAGCTTCGTCGGTACATTTTTTTAAAATATATTTTTATTGATTTCAGAGAGAAAGGGAGAGGAAGAGAGAGATAGAAACATCAGTGATGAGACAGAATCATTGATTGGCTGCCTCCTGCATGCCCCATACTGGGGATCGAACCTGCAATGACGGCATGTGCCTTGACTGGAAATGGAACTGTGACTCCTGGTTCATAGGTCGATTCTCAACCACTGAGCCACACCGGCCAGGCTGTAGGCACATTCTTACTAGGCAACCCACAATCAGGGGGACACAAGGAGTAATCTAGTTACCAGGCCCCTGCTTGGAGCCCTCCTATCCATCATACTTAATTCAAATTAGGGTAAGATGAGTAAGCTAAGATTTCTTTCCTACAGCAAGTCTTTCCATCTGAATTTTATGGACAGGAAAAGGGGAGAATCAAGTTGTTATTGTGCTGGGGGTGGAGTCCTTACAGTATCTTAAGAAAAAGAATTTTCTGAGATTCACACAGGAGGATAAGTGATTTTTATTTGTATAGACTTTCATCTCTGTGTTTCAAACATGCCATTTCCCTTAATCCAGTCCTGGAAGAAGTGTAGTTGGGGATTTGGTAGAGCTAAAGAGAAAGCCAGTGTGCAGAGTTTCCATTCCATATTGCAGCTGGGTCCAGTGCAGCATCAGGCTAGTTGCAGTTCATTAGTCCATTGTGTGTGGGATCCACATGGCCGTGGGCCACACAGGAGAATGCCAGGAAGCAGGAGCCAGAGCCCTGCAAGCCAGGAATCAGCCAAGAGGAACCAAGAGAGCAAACTCCTTTGCTTTGGGGATTAAATATCCCAAATTTTGAGCTTTTGCCTGTGGCCATGCCCATTCTGGCCAATGACCTGTTCCCAGGTATGATTGACAGACAAGTACAGACTTTACTGGGCATGCGTCTATTCTCCCCTTGTCCAGTCCCTTCCCCCAGCAATTCCCCCAGCAATCTGGTGATTCCCTGGGGAGTGTTAAACTGCAGCTCCCTGGCAAATCTGCACAAATGGCACACCTATAATATTTGGCCTTTCTTTTGCTCCTTTCCTGTTATTAATAACTAGGTTGATTACAACGGTATCAAAATGTCTTTTCTGAGTACTAAAGTCAGTATCCCAAAAGTCAGCTCTAGGGTTGCAAAACTTTGGTCCCTTTCATCTCATTAAAAAGTTAGAAAGAAACAGATGAAGTTAATTTTTATAATACATTGTAATCCAGTACATCCAAAATTTCATTTCAACATGAAATCAATTAAAATTTTAATGAGATATTTTGCATTCTTATTTTCTTAGAAAATTTCCAAAATTAGTGTGTATTTTATATTTACAGCTCATTTCATTTGAACCAGCCCACAAGTGGGACAATGCAATTCTAAAAGATTTAAAGTTCTTTTGAAGTGAATTGTCATTTACCATTATTCCTAGTACAAAAATGATGAAATGTATATAATGTATATTTTCATAAATATTTGTTAAAAGTAATTAGTCAACATTCATCATCATTTTTTTAATGAGACCATGGGACTTAAAAAAATTACTTATAGCTAGATGAGATGGGGTTTAGCATTAATTCTATCTCTTTTGTTTGTTTGATGGTTTTGTTTTTATAAATGCAAATGCTATTGTTCACATAGGTAAGAAGATGGAAGTAGTGGGAGCTGTGTTATATAGTAGATTCCTAGTTTTTCAAGTTCCTGAGTTATAACCCACATCACACAGGTATCTTTCATCAAGCTTTATTTTAATTATCAGGTAGGTGAGCACTCTCTAGGTTCCCTTTTTATTTTGTTGAAGGAAAAGTATTGGAACCATCTCAGTTACAAAAGGCTGTGTCTATCACCTAGTTGTTGGACTCATTCACTTTCTCAGCCAAGGCTCCAATGTGTTGAACTTTGGTGCTTTGGAGGTTTCTACGCCCTGGCACAGTTTTCATTAATAAGGTTCTGGATGGATAGGAAGTTGGCTCCCCATATGTAAAGTTGGTGAAGGTGCCCTGACTCAAGCCTTCTCCTCCTTTAGAAAGTTGATCTGAAAATTGATTCTTACGAAACTGTCCACGCCCATATATCCTTTAGAACATTGTGTGTATCCCCGGGCCATGCGTATCCCAGTTTGAAGACTGCTCATTTATATCTCCATTGGAGAGCATTCCCTGTTGAAACAGATTACACATATTTTTATGAGAACCAGGAATCCAGTTGTACTAAGCTTTGGTACAAATATATAGTTAACAGTATATTTAAGAGCAAACATCCTGTGTGTTTCAGAATGGTGATTAAAACTCTGATATTACAGCTTGCTGTATTTTTATGTAAGAAATAACAAAAGAGATTATTTTATAATAATTTAAGCTGAAGTTTTATGGAATCATGTGTCATAAGGAGTACTCGGCTTTACTTTCACTCTATTCTTTGACAGTATTCTTATTTTGGCTGTTACATCAGTTTTGAAAATAGAATTTTTAGTATTGCAAAAGGTGGAAAAGAAATGTCAATTTTTGGTATCATT